GCGCCCCGAGGCCTCCCAACCCCTTCCTCGAGTGCCCACGCACCCCCGTAGGGGCTGCATTTTGGGTCTGCTTTGCACCCCTAAGGGGGAAACGTGAAGGCCTCACGTCCCTTTTGTCCCTGCTGGAGCAGGGGCTTGGCCTGGATGATCTCTGGAGTTCCCTTCCGACCTCAGCCATCCCGGGATTCTGGGATTCTCCCCATCTGGGCTCAGAGCGTCGCTCCCCTCGACCTCCCCAGCGCCACGGGAGCCCATCCCTACTGGAAAGCGCTCGGCAGGGACGGGAACAAGCGCCCGACGCTCCGGAGCCGGCGGCATCTCCCACCCGCTCCCCCTCGGGCGAAGGGAAGAGGAGGCACCGAGCGCAACGTTACCCATTTTCTTGGGCAGCAAATAGACGTCCTGCTTGTAGCGGCCCTCGGGGGCGTTGTAGAGCTCTATCAGAGCCAGCGCCTGCGAGAGGGGCCGCGGGTGAGCGCGTCCCGGGCGCGCGGCGCTGCCCCGCTCGCCCCGCGCCCGGCTCACCTGCGTGGTGGCGGTGATGGACAGCACGAAGGTGGGCACCGTGGAGCAGCTCAGGTTCAGCAAGCGGCCCTGGGGGGTGAAAGCGGCCGTGGTGGACCCCAAAATGGGCTACGAGCCCCAGTGCGAGCGCAATGCATCCCCTTTGGGGTGAAACGCGACGTTTCGGTGTCCCCGTCCCTCTGCAGCGAGTGTCCCATCCCCAAGGGTGGCACAGGGAAAGGTGAAAGGAGGGAACGCAGCAGCCATCCGCCTTCCTCGGAGCCACCACGGGAGTTTGGCACCGGGCAGCTGCTCTGGGGCTGCGGCCCAAGGAAAACCACGTGCAACTGAATCCATCGGATCCCCGTGTGGCTCAACAACACGATTTAGGAGTGAAAACTGGATGGGATACGCTGTGTGGGACACTGCTGGGGAAGGATAAAGGATAACACAGGGGCTTTTCCGCATTCAGTAACTCAGCAGCCAAAAAGAGGGTTAAAGAGAATTCTTTCAGACTGGGGGTGTTGTGGGGAGGCCAAGGAGGAGGCTCCTGGCTGGGGCCTCGTGTCCGTCCCCCGGAGCGGGTCCGGGTGCCGCTCACCTCCGCCAGCAGCACGATCCTCTTCCCATCGGGCCAGATGACGTGGTCCACCTGGGACCTCACCCGCTCCCAGGTGAGCTCGGGGGTGCGCAGGCTCGCCTGGAACACGGCGCGGAAGGAGGTTAGCGCGGCGGAACAGCGCGAAACAGCCCTGCTGAGGCCACGTCTGGAGTATTGTGTCCAGTTCTGGGCTCCACAGGACAAGAGGGATGTGGAGCTGCTGGAGAGAGGCCAGCGCAGGGCTACGAGGATGATCAGGGGCCTGGAACATCTGCCCTGTGAGGAGAGGCTGAGGGAGCTGGGCCTGTTCAGCTGGAGAAGAGAAGGCTGAGAGGGGACCTGAGCAGTGTCTAGAAGTACCTCAAGGGAGGCCGTGAGGAGGATGGGGCGGCCTCTTTTCACTGGTGGCCACCGACACAACTAGAGGAAACGGCCACAAACTGAAACACCAAAAGTTCCACAGGAACTTAAGGAAAAATTTCTTGCCAGTGAGGGTACCAGAGCACTGGAACAGGCTGCCCAGAGAGGTTGTGGAGTCTCCTTCTCTGGAGATCTTCAAACCCGCTTGGACGCAGCCCTGTGCCACGTGCTCTAGGTGACCCTGCGTGTGCAGGGGGGTTGGACTGGATGATCCCTAGAGGTCCCTTCCAACCTTCAGCATTCTGGGATTCTATGAAACGGGAGCTACAGGAGAGCGGGAGCAGCGCAGGCCCTCGCTGACACTGCTCCGGGCTTAGAGCTTCCTTCGGACCTGGTCACCATCCCCGACCAAGGAAGCCTCTATGAGTTGCACCCTCAGAACTACTTTTATGGTTGCAGGGTCCTCCGCTCTGAGCGGGTGTCACCGCGGCGCGGCGCTCACCACGTCGATCTCGGTGTTGGAATGTCCCATGTTGCACACGATGCAGCTGTTCTTCATGCGGTCCAGGTGCTCCCTGGTCACCACGTTCTTGTTGCCTGCAACACGGTGCTCGCCTTGGCCCGGGGGTCCCCGCGGGCGCCTGCCGCGCTCTCCCCTTGGCACCCCTGGGCCCCCCGCACCCCGAGCGCCGGGACAAGCAGCTTGAGGCTCCCCAGGCTCCGTCCCCTCGGCAGGGCACAGACTCGAGCGCGGCCGCCTACCCGTGCAGGTGATGACAACGTCCACTTGTCTGATGACTTCGTTGAGCTTCACGAGCCGGAACCCGTCCATGCTAAGAGGGAAAAACACACAGCGCAGCTTGAGAAGCTGTAAAAACACAGAAACCAACCCAGAAAAGAGCTCGGCTGCCTCTTGGAGACCTCCAGAGCCAAAGCCGGACAGGGCAGCAGGAAAGGGACGGGCGTCCCCGGCCACCGGGAGCTCCCCGGGAGCCATCAGCTCCCGGGATTTGGGCCTCTTGTGGGAAAAGTGGCACCGGAAAGGTGACTTGGGGGGGATTTCACTTCTTCTTCCAGGCCTCTGGATCAAAGGGCCTCAGTTTCCAACCAGGAGAGCGCTTTAAAGCACCTCCTCTTTCAGAGCACGTCGAGACGGCGCAGACACCCTCCCGCTGCAGGATCCTTCCTGATAGAGATTCAAACCATCCCCAAAGAAACCCCAAACCCCCAGAGCCACCACGAGCTTCGCAGACCCGTCCTGAGGCCCCTACACCGCCCTGGGAGGCGTCGAGCACCCAGCAAGTCCTCCCTGACTTGGGTGGGAAAGGCGAGCGCAGCACAGGTGACAACAAGGCTGTGATTTTGGGGCTTCGCTGACATCCTCCTGGGACCTTCAGGCCGTGAAATTACAGTTACTATAAAAAAAAGGATTTTTTTTCCTGCTGCATTTCTCAGCATGTCCCATTTAGGACCTGTCTCAGTGTGAGCTCCTTTGAAAGGGGCTGCAGGAGCAGAAGATGAAACCAGCAGGTTTAATTCAGCTGCCGGATGGAGCAGGGCACCTGGTGCTGCTGGGCTCCTGCGGGATCATCCTGCGGGATCATCCTGCGGGATCCTGACGGCGGCAATGCACAGGGCCCATCCCGGTCGCTAATTAAGCCGTGCTCATTAGCGGCTCCGGCTCCTCCTCTTACCAGGCCTGCAGGGCGCAGATGGGGTCGATCTCGGTCACGTACACGATGGAGCCCATGGCCTTGAGCGCGGCGCAGCAGCCCTTCCCGACCTGCACGAGAGCAGCGCCGAGAGGTGAGAGCCGGCGGCTCCCTTCGGAAGGAGGCTGCGTCCGCTCCCTTCGCATCCTAAGGCAGCTCCGTCCTGCTCCGTCACGGACACGGCCACCTGAGGCTGAAAGGGGCTTTCAGCTTGAGGGGCTGCTTTTGAGCCATGCGAGGGAAGGACCCACGGGCCCTGCACGCTCATTCGCAGGATCCTCCCAACGCTGCTGCCAACACAGACTGCCCCGTGGCTTGGAAACACCATTCAGGGTAACCCGGGAGCGGAGCTAGGACCCAAACACATCCACGAGCCGTTCCCAGGGAGCTGCTTTCCCTCCGGCCGCTGGAATCCCGGCGGCCACGAGCGATTCCGTTCAGCGCGGAGAAAGCCAAAGGGCCGCTTATGGCCTCAGCTCCGCTTGGGAAGCTGAACTCTAATCCCCTGGGATAGCCAGCATCATGTATGTGGTTAAATGTACTCCCTGTTTAACGCCTGGGAGCAACGCTGGAACGCCGAGCAGGAAAATCCTCCCTTTCGCCAGGTACGGAGGTGGCTGCAGAGATGGGACACGGGGACAGAGAGGCGCCGGGGGGACGCCAGGCACCGCTTTTCCATGCAGGGAGGTGGGAAGGGCTTTCCACGGGATGGATAGTGGGCCCTTACCTCCCCGTAGCCACAAACCACGACTTGCTTTCCTCCGAACATCATGTCTGTCGTCCTCTTAAGGCTACGGGAGAAACAAAAACACATAATTGGGGCGGTGGATCCCAGCCAACCACAGCAGCAGCAATATCTGTGACAGAGAGGACTTGGGTGACATAAAATGAGGGTTTCTGTGAGGCCAGTGTTGCTGTGAAGGTCCCCCCATTCCGGTGCCTCACCTCACCCCTTTCCAGCACCGTCCCATGTCCCGCTGATCCACAGCAGCACTCAGGAAATCTCTAAAACCCCTTCAAAAATCCTCTTAAAATCAATATTACCCCTTTAAACTCCAAAAACTCCACGGAATTAACCACAGCAGGAGCAGGTCGTTGGTAGCCCATCCCCAGCATCCCGACGCTTGCTGCAAACGCTCCCCCTTCCACTCCGTTTGCTCCCGGTTTCTCCGTGAGGCTGCCCTACATTGCAAGCTATTTTTAGCAGGCCAGTAAATAGGTTAGCAGTGCAGGGAAGGTGAAATTCCCTTCCGCAGGAGCCCCTGCGGATTCGCTTGCACTTTTGCTCAGGTTTCCTTTGGCCCAGCTGGGACTGACTCAAACCCACCACAACTGACAACAACACAGTAGGAAAACTGCACCCGCAGTGCCCATATCCCTGCAGACTGCACGTTTTGGAGCCAGACCAGGATTTTGCATGGACTTTTTCTGGTTTGGATGGGCAGGAAGGGCAGGGGACAGAGGCGTATTCTGATTTCAGCAACAAAACACCCCATGGACTTGACAAGGAGCCCAAAATTCAGCGTTTTAGGACAACACGCAACCGAAATGTGGAAGAGAAACTGTTGGAGTGGATCAGCAGGGGGATGTGTATTAGGTGGCTCATTAACCTGCATGATGCTTGGACACATTTTCCACATCATCACCTTGTCCCTGCGCTGGCACAGGCAGCTACTACGAATGGGAGCTTATCCACCTCTCCTGGGCAAGGTGACCACTGCAGCAAGGCCCTTTTGGAGCCAAGATGGTGAAAGAGAATGATATTTTTCACTCTGAAAAGTATCCCACCGAGATCTGGTAAAATACGCAGGAGCAGCCTTTGGAGTCCGCAGGGAAGCGCGTTTGGGTCTCCAAGAACCCTGGTGCTATCGGGGGAAGCAGGTTGAAGCCCAGCGGGACACCGGGAACGCTGCCACACGGATTCGGATTGGGCAGGAGGAGACTCCCGCAAGGAACCAAGAACCGCAGGTCGCGAGGCTTGTTCAGACACGAAACCACACGAAGTTACCCCAAAACCCGCTCCCCTGGGGCTGGCAGCTCTCTCCAGGGCTGGTCGGTCTCCTCCTTGGGCCATGGATTCCCTGGACGCCGTGAGCAGCCCGAGAGCTGCTCATCTGCACCCAGGATGTAGCCACATCCCGAAAACCTCTGTCGCGGATTTTGGGATTGTCTGCTGGGAGCAGCTGCCGAACGGGACGTGTGACGATCCATAAGGCCCATCCTCATCCCGTGTGGCTTTGCAGGGCTTGAAGCCAGGCTGGCCGAGAGGAGATCCCGCACGAAAGCGCCCTAGAGACACCCCACGTTGCTCTTAAAAGCTAAAAACACCCGGTGAGCTGGCGCTGAGAGCACTGAAAGCCTTTGCAAAATGCCTTAGAGCGCTGCGGCTACTGAAATACTCCAGGTTGTGTCTTCCAGAGACTCCATCTGCTTCTGCAAGAGGAGGAAGAGGGCCAAAACTTTATGCCCCCTTCGCCCATGGAGCCTCATGTGCTCCTGGCGACTGCAGGTCACCCGAACTGCAGAGCGTGAGGCTTCCAGCACGGAAGGGGTGTCTGTCCTCCTCCTCCTCCTCTTCCTCTTCCTGCTCCTCCTCCTCCTCCAACAGCAGCAGGAAAGGGAGTTTCAAGGAAGACCCCTTGGAGGCCGAACACCTTAGCGGGATCATAATGACTCTGGAGGCAACGAGGAGCCCTTGACTCCCTCTAAAACACAAACCCTGCAGCAACGAGTGATCTAAAGCGCAGGTTGGACGGAGCAGCGTGTCCAGCTCCGCGAAGAGGCCCCCAGGGTTCGTCATTCCCGGACCCCGATCCCGGGGACAGGCCCAGCTCCCGGGCAGCGGCTACGCACCCGTCCAGGATGGATTCTCGGCAGCAGTAGAGGTTGTCAAACTTCTGCTTTGTGACCGAGTCGTTGACATTCATGGCCGGGACGCAGAGCTTCCCGGCCTTGGACAGCTGGTACAGCCTATTACGATAAAGGGGAGAAACAGATAAAGAATCGATGAAAAAAAAAACATTTTCGTCTGCTCTGCTGACACACGATCTAAAGGTTTTTGTTTGGCTGGAACATGCGGTACAGATCTCGAGGGCCAAAGATAACAACCTAATAGGAACTGCGCAATGTCCTCGATTCAGAAGGAGAAACAGCATCTTCCCCAGATATTTTTATCTGTTTCCCTCCCCTCCTGAAGGAATTGTGTCACTACCAGGTTGGCACGAGGCGCTGCACAGAACAGCAGGGACCAGGACGTGCTCTGGACTCCGTGTGCTGCACAACAGTCCTATTTTGACTCCCCTCCAATGTCCCCCGCAAGGCAACGGCCCTCCCAGAGCATCAGATAATGTAAGAGCTCCTGGAATTCCTCAAGTTCTTATCCCTTAGGAGGGAAACAGAAACGGCCACGGGAGCGGGACGGCATTGGCAGCAAGGCACCAACGGGGGTGACAGCGGTGGCACCGTCACGGAGACGTTACGGAGCGGCCAGGATGGAGGACGCACATCCCGACGCATCCATCTCCAAGCAGACCAGGCTCCCCCGGCTCCGGGAGCAGCCCAAACCCGCAGAGCGGATCTAATCTAGGGAACAGGGAAGTCACAACAAGCTCTCCTGTTATTCCTGCCCATCCCGAGCTCCCCACGTCTCATGGCACTGCGGATAAAGGCTGCTTTGCCTTTGCTGTTTTAAGTCACCGCTTTGCTAAACCCATTCATCTCGCACATATTCTGCTCTGTGCTGCGCCTCGAGCTGAGGGGAGGCTGCTCTGGGTGTCCCTGGGGACAAGCTTTGCCACGGGAGCCTTGTTCTGGTTTCCTCCTACCTCTTTTTCTGCTCTTGGGCACCATAACTCTGCGTTTGCAGGTGACCCGTGGTTGTACACGGCTCCCCCTTCCCGGATTCCCCTGACAAGGGAGTCATTTCCTCTTCCAAATTTCACTTCCTCATGTATCATTATTTCAGGATTAAGTTTTCACCTTCTCCAAAGCCTGGACCTTCCTCTGTCACATGCTCAGCCCTTCTTTTTCTTTCTTTACCCCTAAAATGACGTAACTACTGGCCCCAATTCATCAATGGGAAAACAAGGCATTATGCACTGTCTCCAGCCACACAGGGATCAGTAGCCAAGTGGGGATTAAGAATTATGGTTTCTCTCTCAAATTCAGAGCACTAGATCCAAATCTACTGCTTTCACTGCACGAGAAATGTAAAATAAAACACGATTTAAAGATAATATTGAAAAGACAAGCCCCTGCTGAAGGGAAAGTGCGGATCAGACACCAGGAGGTGCAATATTCCACTGTTTTATAGCTGTTCTGGATGTTTTATAGCTGTGTGGATGCAGCCTGCGCCGCTGGCCCCGTTACCTGTGGACACCAGTCACGCTCTCCTCTACTATCCCCTTGATCTTCTTAAACATGTTGGGGTATTTCTTGTAGATCCAGTGGGTGAGATCTCCTCCGTCATCCAAGATCTGCAAGAAGAAGAACCAGAGAGTCACTGCCTGGAGGAGCAGGGGGATAAATCACTCGGAATGAAGCCCATGTTTTGGTGGTGCCACCACGTCCTGGGTCCATGCAGCGTATGCAGGGCTGGAGGGACAGCAGGGACAGAAGTTCCTGATGGAAGGAGACCAGAGGCAACACAGAAAACAGCTTTGAACTGTATCCGACCATCAGTATTTTTAATAAGTTTCTAACGGAGGAAGATGTGGGCCGGGGAAGGAGGGTGAAGAGACACTAAGGTCAATTATAATGTAACTGCGCGCCAAAAAAGCTGCGTATTAGAAAGGCCGGCCCTCTTTCAGAGCCTGGCTTTGGGTCACAGCCCGTTTAATCCCGCTTTGAAGCGCAAACCCAGACGTGCAGGCTCCTTTGCAGCAGGTCGGGAGTCCCCTGTGCCACCCACCTCCTCCTAAGGACGCGTTTGGGGCGGTGGAGAGACCCGGACACTCGCTGCTTTAACGGGACATTAAGGATGAGTGAGTTCCTGCCCCACAGGGACATTTATCTGGTCCAGACAGGCCTGTTCTGACCCAAACACCAGCAGATACCCAGGTGGCAGCAAAACTCTCCCTGAATGCACTGCCAGCAGTGCAAGGGCTGACGAGGGGTACAAAAAGACCTATTTTTTTTTTCTCTCTAGGAAACAATTCCAATTTGGGACGTTCTTTTCCGCGGCATCACGGTTTCCTCTTCTTTGGCTGCAGAAGGGCTCCCGTTGGCTCACTGCGCGCTGCCACCTCGTGTCCCCTTCTGCAGAGCATCCTCGGCCCCACCAGGAAAGAAGCTGGTGGCCCCAGGCACCGTTTTCCAACCTCCTCGGGCCGTCCTAAGCTCCCGCTTATCCATGCGGTGGATACTCTACGGCTGATCCCATCAACTGCTTACGAGGAGCTGGGATCAGCCTGGCACGCGCTTGCAAACTATGTGCCCCTAAGGAACGCAGGCCCAGAGGCAGGGGACCAAGGCAACAAGTCCCCGGTGGCCTAAGCCTGGTCTTGGACGGGTTCTTGCTGCTTAGGAAACACCCTCGGCTCTGCAGACCGGGCTGCGTTTTGGAAGGGACCTCTCAGTTGTGTCCGTGCTCCTCCAAAGGTCCGTATCCTCCTCGGAAACCCAGGGGTGTGTTTTGGGGGGAGACTTGCCGGAATTGGTGCTTGGCTCTTCCCAGGATTGGCTCCACAGGCTGGACACCAGGGTTTTCCAGCCGGCCCGCAGGCTCGGCCGCGTTGAGTGCCCAGGAGGGGAAGAACAACCTCGTTGACGCGTAATCGGGAAGGGAAAGTCCTCCGGCTGCTGGTATAACCTCTGGAAACCTCTCCCATCACCCCCATGATCATTATTCCATAGGAAACCCTCTCGGAAGCTGCCACCCTGGAAGCCGTCGCCACGGAGGCACAAGGAGCTCAAGGAAAGGGGCCACAACCGGAATCCTTGGCCAACATCCCATCCCGAGGCTCTTCTGCACTTCCCGATACTGTTGAGCTGAACTGCAGTTCTCCACGTTGGAAGAAATTCTCCTTCCTGTGAGGACATGGGAGGATCATGAGACATCCCCGTGTGTCCCCTCTGGTGGGTGACAAAGCCAGGAGCCCCTGCAGTGCCTGCCAGGACACGGAGTGCTGGCCGCAGTGAAGTGACAGTGAACAGGACGCTTGGGTTCATTCCAAAGCCGGATACTAAACCAGTGTCCTTGGCCTCTGCAGCGTCCACTCTCTTCACTTTTGTCCCTAAAATGCAGACTTTCAAAATCAGGACGTAACTTTGAGACGTGCTGGATCAAGCCCATTTGGAGGTCCTCAAGAAACGCTCAGAAACAAGCCTGAAAATACCCTGATTGCTCCAGATGTGTCCCAGGACGCAGACAGCCCCGAGGAAAACAAATGTGTCATATGCACAGGGATGCTGATAGCTGAGAAACTGATTTCTTCAATTCCTGACACCTTTCATAAGAAATGATTTCTAAAAAAAGAGAAAAAAAAAAGGCTATCTTGTCCAGATCCAGATTTGTACGGTGGGGGTGGATTTTCTGACATTCACAACTCTTTTTAGAGGTGACAGGTAAGAAGTGAACGGGGGTAGATAGGAAGGGACAAAAAAATCCAGTCCAAATGAGTCAACGCTAGCAAACGATGCACTTACACGCCCATCATCCATGTTTAATTCCTTTTTGTCTAATTTAGATCACAAGCTTTCCAGGCTCGGAGCCTGTCGGGAAGCAGGATGCAGACAGCACATTTGACAGCTGCAGATTATTCCGCTCGCCTCCTTGGAGGTTCTCTGCTTTCCCTAGAAACGAGGGCAGAATAAGGCAGGGAAGCCAAGAGCTGCCCCGTGGTCAGGGAAAAGAAGAGACTCCAGGGCAGGAATCACCTTGGATCCCATTCTGCCTCCGAAGGGGACACCTGGCCTGGGCAGGACCTGACCAAAGCTGTGAATTTATGCTGATTTGGGGTAAAACCGATGCAAGCTCTTTTTAGAATGTGCTCATTTTGGGTGGTTGTTTTTAGCTGTTAGACTGAGTGGATAAGAGGCTCTGCTCTGCTCAGCCCTGCTGAGGCCACATCCTTTGGGTGGTTGCTTTTAGCTGTTAGATTGAGTGGATAAGAGGCTCTACTCAGCCCTGGTGAGGCCACATCTGGAGTATTGTGTCCAGTTCTGGGCTCCA